TGCATTGGACGTTATTAGTTCCCTCTCTCAAGGATGTCCAGTGTGGTGGTCAGGCCCTGGAAATACAGCGGTGAACTGGACCCAGGTCCCTCCTGGTCAGGAGCTCCCAGTCCAGGGGGGGAAACAGAGGCAGTTACCACGGGTGTGCCCTCAGTGCCAGGCGAGGGAGAAGTACCAGGAGTTTGATACCAGGCTGCCTGGAGTTCACCTGAACCTGCCCTGGGGCATCAGGGAGGGCTTCCCAAAGGAGGAGGTGGCAGCCTGGAGCTGAAAATCGAAGGGATGGCTAGAGATCAGCCAGGTCATAGGAAATGGCAGTGTGGAGGCTTGACAGGGAGGAAAGCACACAGTGTGTCCTGTGACCTGTCGGGTTCATTGTGCTGAAGTAAGAATGTGTGTGCATGTGAGAGACAGACAGACGGAGAGTCAGACGGATGGGTGGGAGGTGTCGATCATTAGACTGAAGCTGGTGAGATGACGAGGAGCCAGATCCTGCCGGGCTGCAGGGAAGGAGTTTGATCTTTGTCCAGAGGTCGGTGGGCAGACTGCGTGGGTTTGGCGCAGGGGGGTGAGGTGGTGGTGCTCGCCTCTCAGACCCACTCTGGCTGCTGCTGGGAGAGTGGATGGGAGGCATGTCAGCGAGGAAGGCGGATTTTAAATGTCTCTTCTCCGGGAAGTTTTCCCTGGCCACTCTCTCCTTCGTTGTCATTTATCTAACACTCTGTACATCTTGCTTATTTATGTTCATTGTCTGTTTCCCTCTTCTTTTGGACAAATTTTGTTTAATTATTGATGAAAGAGAGAGGGGGGGGAGAGAGAGAGAGAGGATTTGTTGTTCTACTTAGCTGTGCATTCATTGGCTGCTTTTAAAAAATATATATATTTTATTGATTCTTTACAGAGAGGAAGAGAGAGGGACAGAGAGTTAGAAACATCGATGAGAGAGAATCAGCGATCAGCTGCCTCTTGCACACCCCCTACTGGGGATGTGCCCGCAACCAAGGTACATGCCCTTGACCGGAATCGAACCTGGGGACCTTTCAGTCCGCAGGCTGACGCTCTATCCACTGAGCCAAACCGGTTTCGGCTGGTTGCTTCTTAATATGTGCCCTGATTGGGGATCCAATCTGCAACCTTGGTGTGTGGTTGGCCAGGGCCTGCTCCCCTTTTCTTGACTGTCAGCTCCCCAGGGACAAGGCTTTCTGGATATGTGTCCCCAGAACTCAGTCCGCAGTGGGTGCTCAGTGGATGAACGAGCGAAGGAAGCCGCCATGGAGAAGGAGAAGAGAGGATGCCTGCGTCCCAGGGGCTGAGGCATTGGGCTGCTTCCCTCTGGGGCCTGTGGATGGAGGAACCACGCGCATTCTCTGCATCCCTGGCTCCTGTGGGAGGCCCCGGGCATGCACGCGGCCCTTCGCACGGCGCCCCACACAGACGCAGACTTGGCGAGGCCAGGCCACCTCCCGGAAGGCGCTGCAGGGTGTCAGGACTGGCTCGCACCCCTCACCAGATGGTGGCATTCCCAGCGCACAGCACCCAGAGATGGCTGAGTGAATGGCTGGTGAGCTCCCAGATGGGGTCTGAGGGTGTAATTATGAAGAACTGGCAATTCAGCTGTTAGAATGAATCAACGCCTCCGAATCCGAGCGGAAAAGCTGCCAAGCGGTTGGGTTTTGAATGGAAGCGCCTCTCTGGCCGCCGCCCGGCGCCGTTCTCTCGGATTTCCCCCGAGACTTCGGGCTCCGTGGCTGCACCCGCAGCCCCGAGCCCAGGGCCCGGTTTGGGGCAGCAAGGTCAGAAGGATGGACGAATGAATGAATGAATGAATGAATGCCCTTGAGAGACACCTGCCTAATTTCAGCAGCTATTGGACTTGGTGACTCAATTCCCAGAAGAAAAAAAAAAAAATGGTTTTCGCTGCATGAAATCACAGGAAATGGAATTTTAAATTTTGCAAATCAGTTCAGTGAAACCAAGCCTGTGGACTTGGCAGGTTTAGCAAAAGCAGAGACAATACCCATCACCACCCTCTGCTCCAGGTGTGCCTGAGGTCTGACTGGCATCCTGTCTCCTGGTCTAGTGTCGCCTCCTGGCCTCCCAGGTCAGCCTTGCTCCCGGGCTGTCCTCCAGGTCCACGATGATTAAAAAGGAGATGGCTTGCCCTGGCCTGGGTGGCTCAATGGATTGGGTGTCGTTCTGTGCACCGACAGACTGCAGGCTCGATCCCTTGGTACGGGGTGTGCTGCAGGAGGCAGCCAGTCGATGTTTCCCTCTCACATCGATGTTTCTCTCTCTCCCACCCTCAGTAATTGGGTAATTGGTGGTATGATATGCCAGGCCACTGGGCTGATTACTGGGGACTCAGGGCGCCCTCTGGGGGCTTACCCGGGAACTAATGCACTATTAAATGTAACTGTGTAGCTGTGATGAAGCCTGCTGATTGTCTGTGGGACTCCGTGGACCTGTAAGAGGGAGATTGTACCAGGTTGGAGAGGGACAGGGATGCTTGAGCTGTGATCTCAGGGGTGGGCCTGTGCCTGCGCAGGAGGGGCCTCTCAGAGAGCAGGCACAGCATGTGCAAAGGCCCTGAGGCAGCATTTGAGAACCACCGAGAGATGCAACGTGCAAACCCTCCTGAGCAGGAGAAACGGGAGAGGCAGCTCCCAAGTCAGCCAGCACCTGAGCGTTCGGGAGTTGCCTCCCCTGAGCCAGGAAGCCTTCCAGAACCACCACGGCCAGTTCTAGGCGGTTCCTCCTCCTCGCCCTGTGCTCCCAGGTACCCCTTTATGGACCGTGACGGATGCTTACGGCCCATTGCTTGTGTGTGTTTCCCCACCCGAGACTGTGAGTTCCCTGAAAGCAGGGGACATTTCTTGTTGGCCTCCGTGCACACAGTAGGTGCTCAATAAACACGTATCGGAGGAACAGGGTCGGGGGGCGGTTTTTACTGAGCACCTACTGTGGACGCGGCCCTGTGTGTGCGCATGTATATGTAAGGCTGCGACACCGAAAAGCCGGGAGGAGCGTGGGTCTGACAGGCTGGGGGAGATGCCCGCGGACGCAGTTGGCGCTCCAGAGCTTCTGTTCCATCTGCGCCCAGATCGCTGGAACCGGGGCTGCCGTCCCTGTCTCCCCAGTCCTGCGGAGACTCAGTCTTTCCTCTCCTCCCCCTGGACCCCCGCTGCCTCCACCCCGGGCTCCTGCCATGGGAGGGCGGGGACAGCCCTGCTGGCGATGAGATGTGACACCACTGGCTTTCTCTGGCAGCCACACATCCCCCGCCAGGGCCTGCCGGCTCCGGTAAGTGGGGGCTGGCGTGTCCAGGGGATGGAGGGTGCCTGCGAGGTCTGCTGGGAATTTTCTCTCTGTCCTCCTCGGAGTCCTGTTAGTGCCGCGTCTCGTGTTCGGGCTGTGTCCGTGACCCTGAGCAGGGCTGCCAGAGGTCACGGGGGCTGGCTCCGAAGGTGAGCAGCCCTGACTGGGGGCCGGACCCCCGGCGGGTGTCACTGCAGGTAGCATTCTCCCTCTGCCAGATTCCCTCCTTCTCCATCTCTGCCCCTCTCCTTCTGCTTCTGACTGACGTGTCTAGATAGACAGCTTTCTCTGGTCCGGGGAGAAGGAATCTGTTAGCACCATCGCGCGCGCGCAAGGAAGAGAAAATATCAAAATCTGTCCGCCTTTCTCTCCTGCGGGCTGCCGAGCGTGTGCGTCAGAGCCGTGCGGGGCCTCGGGCGGGGAGCGGGAGGCTGGCATCGAACGGAAACACCCTCCCGTGTTGGTCCATCCAGGTGGAGGCAGGCTGGGGGCAGCTTTTTGGGGGAACGGGGACACTGGTGTGACTGACGGTGGGGACAGGGTGGGGGGGGGGGGAAGGAATCAAGAACGGTGACTCGTCTGGCGCTTTTTAAGACCGGAAAGGAACACAGCATCATCTTTTAAAAAGGCAGCGTTGAACGGATGGAGGGTCCGAGGCCGTTGGGTTCTAGCTGTGTGAGGTCGGCCGGTCAGACGACCTCTCTGGGCCCCGGGCCTTTATCTCTGTCGTGGAGATAGCGACCCTGCCCGGCCCTTGGGGCTGTTGGGGGATTAACGAGAGCAGAGGGCTCCGGCTTGGGGAGAGCAGGTCGTACATAGCTGGGTGGACAAGGGGGCTGTGTCCGAGCCACAAAGGAGGTTGGGTCATCACCGCGCCCACCTCGCAGGGTGGCGAGGAGGGTAAGGTTTCTCGGTGGTGGCGTGTCTGCCCTCACCATCAGCCGTTGCTCTCGCTGAGACTTTGAAGACAGCCGGCGAGAAGTGGGCATCCGGCAGAAAGGAACCCAAAGGAACTGCCGTCGGTGAGTGGCAAGTCCAGGCGGCTTTTCGGACGGACGGAAGGCATCTGGAAGGGGAGGAGGGGGAGACAAAGGCCAGGCCGGTGGGGATGAGGGCCGCGGCTTGGGTTCTGTGGGCCATTCACCCGCGCTGTGACCTCAGGGGCGCTGGCTTTCGGCAGCTGTGTGAGCCGGGGCTGGTCGCTCACCCTCTCCGAGCGTGGCCCCCGCACAGGCTCAGGAGGGGCTCCGCTGGGGTGCCTGAGGCCCGGGGGGCAGGCTCTGGAGTGGGAAAACGGTGACCGGAGACCGGGAACTCGGGGGCGCCGTCAGGGGCCCGATGCTGGGAGCGTGCAGAGTGCACGGGTGGCATCCCGGCTCCGCTTCTGGCTTCCTGAGCGACCTCAGGCCGGACGCTGGGCCTCTCTGAGCCCATTCCCTTATCTGCAGGGCAGAGATAAGCCCTGGTCACCTCGACTTGAGCTGAGTCAGGAGGGAGAGTCCTGGAGAATGTTGGCGGCGCCTTCCCCCGGCCCTTTGATCTGGAAGGAGCTTCAGAAACCGCAGGAGTTCAGAGGGATGGAGGGGAGGGCCTGGGCCGGCGAAGTCAGCGGGAGGTTGTTGTCCAGAACTCGGGGCTCCGGCTGAATTTTAAATCCCCCTCCCTTTTTTTTTTTTTTTTTGCAGCAGTGGCTTCTCCATTTCGGATGTTTGGAAGCCCCATGGATCCCCAACCGTAACCATGGTGACGCGGGTGGAGGTGGGCTCCATCACGCCCCTGCCCGGAGTGCCAAGCCTCGGTGACATCGCCAAGGAGACCCTGACGCGGACCTGCTTCTGCCAGGCGGGCGACACGTCCGGGGCCCCCTCGGCCAGCCCCCTCCGGAGCCACACCCGCTTGTTCCCCTTTGGGACCACCCTCGCCGCCCCCAAGCCCTTCTCCAGGGAGAAGGCCCCGGCCGGGAAGTCCCCGGGGCCCGGCCCGGCCAGGCCCTCTCCCTCCGGCGGGTCCCCCCAGGCGGCCGCGGCGGCCAGGGACCCGGGCGAGAAGATGCCCGGCCTGGGGGGGCAGGAGGCAGGCGACGGGGGCCCCCGGAGAGGCTCGTCCGTGTACCCCAAGGCCCCGTGCCTGCGGCCCAGCACCCTGATCCTCTTCGAAACCTCCAAAGCCGGCCCTGCCCTGGGGAAGGGGCTCCGGGAGGGGGCCGGCGTGTCTCAGGACTCCCCCTGGGGCCCGAGGCCTGAAGTGGCCGCCAAGCCCGCCCTGCCTGCCCGGAGGCCCGGGGGGACCCAGGACAGCAGGCTGGCCGCCCCCCGAGAGGACGCAGGCCCCGGTGAGCCCCTGCCCAAGGCCAGCGGCAGCGGGGAGGTCGCGGGCAGCCCCCCCTCGGTGGAGCCCCGGCCTCTCCCCAAGAGAAGGCCCGTGTCGGCTGTTTTCACCGACGCCGTCCATCCTCAGCGGCTGGGCCCCGGCGGGGCGTCCGCGGCAGGGAAAGCACCCCCCGCCCCGCCCGAGAAGACGTGGGTGAAGAGGCCCCGGCCGGTGTCCATGGACCTCACGGCCCCCTTTGAGAGCAGAGAGGCCCTGCTGAGGAAGGCTGCGGGCGAGGCCGCCCCAGGGCCCCCCAGCCAGCGCCGGGGGCCCGAGAGGCCCCCCCCGAAGCTCCCCGTGGACGGGGAGAGTCTGGTCGAAGCAGAGGCGCCCCCCGCTGACGCCGACTCCGACTTCCTGGAGGTGACCAAGAAGATCCACGCACGGAGGGAGAAGTGGCTCTCCAAGCAGGCCGAGCTGGGCGGCCTCAGAGCCGACGGCCGGAAGCCCGAGGGAGAGAAAGCCAGGCTGGAGGCAGAGCCAGAGAAGGCTCCCGAGTCCCCTTCGCCCAGGCCGGGCGGCCACGGCCGAGAAGCGGCGGAGGGCAGGAGCGGGGCGTCCAACGGGGAGGCCCGGGCCCCGGGGGAGTGGGTCTCCAGGGGCAGCGTCAAGAAGCGCCGCAGCCTGTTCGAGGAGGAGGGCGCCTCGGCCTTGGCAGCGGGGTCTGAGCCCCCCGCACCGGCCGCCCCCGAGTCCCCCTCGGCTGCTCCAGAGCCCGAGAAAGCGGGGCTGAGCGTCCGGGATCGGATCAGAGGCTGGACCGCCGAGAGCTCCAAGGTCAAGCCGGAGGTCAGGAGGAGGGCGTTCCAGGCTCGGCCGCAGTCGATGGATTTGACCAAACTGTGAGTGGAAATGTCTCCTGGGGTTCACGCTGTTGCCTCAGACCGCCCACCAGGTCCCCCCTCTGGGATGAGGCACCTCACACCCCCTCTCTGGCTCCACCTGCAGCCTCCAGAGGAAGCAGCACTAGCTGCCATTTCTCAGATGAGCTGCCAGCAGCGGGGCCAGGGGCTCGGTTTTCTTGCCTCTTCTTTGCGCTCGGGAGACATTGTGCCCATTTCACAGATCAGGGTGGGGAAGGTAGAGTGCCGTGAGGAAGTGGATGTATTCCAGCTCCGCCTGTCTCCATAGCTAAGCTTTCTTCTCCTAAAGTCTGCGGTCACCTCATATGTGACCGAAACCCCCCGCCCCACGAGTGGCCGGCAAAATAAAGCCAGATGGGTCAAGATCACTTGAACCTGGGTTTCTTCATCTAATGACCCTAAGACCTTTCTACTTTTTTTAAAAAATATATATTTTATTGATTTTACACAGAGAGGAATTGAGAGGGATAGACAGTTAGAAATGTCGATGTGAGAGAAACATCGACCGGCTGCCTCCTCACACCCCCCACTGGGGATGTGCCCGCAACCAAGGTACATGCCCTTAACCGGAATCAAACCCGGGACCCTTCAGTCCCCAGGCCGACGCTCTTCCACTGAGCCAAACCGGCTTCGGCTTTTCTATTTTTTTTTAAATATATATTTTATTGATTTTTTTTTTACACAGAGGAAGGGAGAGAGAGAGTTAGAAACATTGATCAGCTGCCTCCTGCACATGCCCCACTGAGGATGTGTCTGCAACCAAGGTACATGCCCTTGACCAGAATCGAACCTGGGACCCTCCAGTCTGCAAACTGATGCTCTATCCACTGAGCCAAACCAGTTTTGGCTTTTTTTTTCTTTTTCTTTTTTCTTTTCTCTAAGACCTTTCTTAAAGGTAAAGACCCAGAGACTTAATTCCGGGAATCATTCTGCCCATGGGAAACCCTCAGGGCGTTGTAGCTTTAAGTGATAGCACTAACCCTGTCAGTCTTCCTTGTCTAGGTTCGCCCAGCCTCTGATATCTCTTGTGCCTTTGTTTTCCCGCAAATGGCTTCTGGGTTACAACAGGGAGATGCCATGGGGCGTGCCCACTAGCTCAGTAATGACATGCATGCCACTGACACACTCTGTCGGGGCTGGAGCGTCCAGGGGGCAGGAGCTCTGGGCAGACTGCCCTCCCAGCACTGGGAACTAGGGCAGCCAGCTGGGCCGGAATTAGACCGGTGCCCTCAGCATTTAGAATCACCGAGAAATTCAGAATCACCGAGAAAAAGTACCAGTGCCTGGGTCCCACCTCCCGAGATTCTGATTCGGTTGGTCTAGGGCCTGGGTCGGCAAACTTATTACATTAGTCAACAGAGCCAAATAGCAACAGAACAACGATTGACATTTCTTTGGAGAGCCACATTTTTTAAACTTAAACTTCTTCCAACGCCACTTCTTCAACATAGACTCGCCCAGGCCGTGGTATTTTGTGGAAGAGCCACACTCAAGGGGCCAAAGAGCCACACATGTGGCTTGAGAGCTACAGTTTGCCGGGCGAGGGGCTCCTTGCTTGATTGTTTTTAAAGCTCTGGGTGATTCTCATGTGTGGGCCTGAGAACCCCTGAGCTCAGATAACAGAGAAAGGGGCACCAATGTCAGAGACCTCACACGCCTCCTCTCCCTGCAGTGCCTTGGATTATTCCCATTGGACAGATGGGTAAACTGAGGCTCCAAGTGTGGGTCAGGTTTCAGAGTTCCTTTCTTTCCTCTGTAGCCCACCCTTTCCCCCCCGCCCTAAACTAATCTGTAGGCACCCACTCTAAGGAACTTTTCAGAGATGATAAAATTCTAGCTCAGAGCTCCCCTTTCTCCCTCTTCCCCTTCACAATTGGGGAGACAGGCCCAGAGAGGGACAGTAACTTGGCCACCGTCACCCGGAGAGGCAGAGACAGGCCCGTGCCCCCACACATTCCCCCGGCCCAGTCCCGTGACCGGTGTGCGGTGGGGCCCACTGTTGTGCCCCAGGTTGCTAACAACAACCATTAATTATTCCTCCCAGGGCATCCCAGGTCTTCCCTGAACGCCCTCAGGTAGCTATTAGGGCTCTGGGTAGCTTCTTCTCCGCCCTACAAAAGGCGATGGGGAGGTGTTAATTACCCCCGTTTTATAGATGAAGAGACAGAGGCTCAGGCGAGGTCACACGCCTGACCCACGCTCCCACGCTGGGAAGCTGGTAGAGCTGGCATTCGCACCCAGATCTCTTCCCCCCAGCCTGGGGCTCCCGGTCCCCCCATGATGCTGTGTCTAAGGTAGGCCGTCCCTGCTGGGGGGAGCCCTTTTCTGTTGCTCTGGTGACCAGAAAGAGAAACGTCTTTTCTCAGAGCACACCGGGCGCTGTTGCTTTTGATGACCTCCGATTCCACGCTGGGTCCCTGGGCGAGTTGTGGCGTGTGGGATGGAGGAGGGGCGAGTCGTGGCTGCTGGCCCAGCCAGGTAACCCGGATCTCTCTGTACCTGGATCTCTCTCCCAGGTTTTCGAGTTCAGCTTCAAGCAGCGACGTCAAGTATGAGAGGTGCCCAGAGCCCAGTGGCGAGCTGGCTAAGGAGCCGAGAGAAAAGGTGAGGAGTCACATGGGCGGTAGCTACACTCGCCGGCACGGGGACCCCTGGGAAGAATCAGGAGCCTCCTGCAAACAGTGAGGCAGCTGAATGCCGAGACCGTGCAAGTCCCATCCGGCGAGCTGGCTGCGCGCCCCCGCTCCCTCGAGTTCAGTGCTGCTTACAGGCGCGATCGCCAGGCCTGTGCTTTTTCTGTGCATGGAGGGAAAGGGACATGGCGTTCCCCTGCGAGAAGGCCTGCTTTGTTCAGGAGTGAATAAAGCTGAAGCCATGTCCGTGGAAAACCCCTCCATTTCCCTAATGATGGCCCCTGCTGCCTTCTGCGCTCTGACTTTCACCTAGCAGCCACAGGGGGCAAATTACCGGCACTTAAATCGCTCCAAAAGTATCTTTACTTAGTTCATTTGGGAAGAAGAAAAAAGAACTCATCAAAGAACGCCTAGGTGTCACTGGGTTGTGGTTAATCCCTTGGGCAGAGTTGTAATTTTCTAAAGCCGCTTTCTGGAGGGTTAACTGGCCGACAGTGCGCGCACATGGAAAGCGGGCGGGTGCAGAGTTCGGTGTGTGCACCGCACACCTGGGAAGCTGCCATCACAATCAGGATAACCAGCACCCAGCGCACCCAGGTCTCCTCCTCTCAATCCCTCCCTCCTCCTCTTCTTCCTCCTCCTCCAAGCAACCACTGACCTGCTTTCTGTTGCAATAGATTCATGTGCATTTTCTAGATTGTTCTATAAATGGGACCAGTGCCCTTTATCCACCCCCCCCCCTCGGTTTTCCTTCTTTCATTCAGAATAGTTATGTTGAGATTCGTCACGCTGGAGTGTATATTAATAATTCTTTCCTTTTCTTCGCTGAGTATTATTCCATTGTATCCTATTCGTCCTTGGATGGACGTTCGGGCTGTTTCCAGTTTGGGACCCATTGCTAATAAAACGCCTTGTAGTCACATCAAAATACCCTAGTGGTAACAAGAGCGAGCACAACAAAAGCCATATATGAAGCAAGTTGGGTGAAATGTTATTGTCACTGAAATTAGGGGATGGGTTGAGGCGAACTTATTATCTCTGTAATTTTGTATATGTTTGAAAACTTTCAAAAAAATTTAACTTTAGAGAGAATAGGAAGTGGGGGCGGGGGAGAGAGAGAGAGAGAGAGAGAGAGAGAGAGAGAGAGAGAGGAGAGAGGAGAGAGAGAGAGAGAGAGGAGAGAGAGAGAGAGAAACATCGATTTGTTGTTCCACTTACCTGTGCATTCATTGGTTTGAGTTTTGTATGTGCCCTGACCGCCTGCTTTTAGTCCTTTGGGTTACATACCCAGGAGGAATGAATTAATTGGTGGGTCCTATGGCTAATTCTCTTCTTTAACTTGTTGAAGTAGACTTAGCTCTAACAGAAAAAAAAAAAAAAAAGAAAAAAAAAAGATTTAAAAATGTCTAGGTAGTATGTTATGAAAAGAAAATCAAACAGAACCAAAGAATGTCGGATTAAAAAATGATTTTTCCATCTTTAGTCCTTCCTCTTCCTCCAAGCTGGATTTATATCTTCACTCCACGGTCCATCTATAATACCTGCGTATGCACACACAGGTGCAGTTTTGTTTTGTTTTTAAATGGTCTTAAGTCACGAAGATACGCTGTCCTGCAGCTGCTTTTCTCCCAGCGACGGGACGTTCTGTGTGTCTCGGATGCGATGACAGGGCCTGTGTGGTCCTCCACCGTTTGGAGGATCAACACGGTCTTAGCATAAGGTGACCAGACGTCCCGCTTTTGGCGGGACAGTCCCGATTTTTAACAATGTGTCCCTCATCCTGCGGCGTTTTAAAAAAAGTCCCGATTTTTGGGGAAAAATCGGGACTTTTTTTAAAACGCTGCGGGACACATTGTTAAAAATCAGGGCGTTAGGTCACCTTATCTCAGCCCCCGCCTTTCAGACGGGCGCCCACGTTGTCTGTGTCACTGCCTTTCACAGACAGTGCGGTCTGCACTTTCTTGCTCACAGAGACTTGTGCTCATGAGCAGCGAAGGAATCCTGAGGGGAAATGGGGCCGGATGAAAGGAAACGAGAATTTTAAAATCATGACAGATGCACTGAATTGTCCAGAACTCAGCCCACCTTGGATGGTCTGTCTTTACGTTGCTGTGGCTTATAATTTTAAGAGCAGCCATTTCAGCCTCTTCCTTTCCATTTCAAATCCTTTAACTTACGTTTCTTTTCTTTCTTTCTTTCTTTCTTTTTTTAGCAAAAGGAAGGGCCTGGCGTGGACGGAACACCTGCTCCCAGGAGCCCCTGGAAGCCTGGGCCGCCCCGGGAGAAGGCCGGGCCGGCCCCGCGGAAGCACAGCGCTAACCAGGTCCCCGGCAGCGGCAGCTGTCGCGGGGCAGGCTCGGCGGGGGCCCCGAGCTCCCCGGACGGCACCCCGGAAGACGAGGGGACTTTCCAGACCGTCAGGGCCACCGTGTTTGAGCACCACGTGGAGAGACACACGGTGGCCGACCAGTCGGGACGCTGTCCCTCGGCCACACCGCCCGGCGCCGCGGCCCACGTCTCGGAGCCCCGGCCCAGGCCCGAGACAGGCTCGTGGCTGGCGAAGGACCTTCCGGAAAAGACGATCCTCAGGAGAGAGAACTGGAGGTGGTCGGAGATCCCCGATCCCGAGAGAGCGGGACGGACCCCCCTCGTGAACGGGGACCCCAAACAGCACCACACGCCTCTGCCGGGGGGGTCCCCCGGGGAGCGCAGCAGTCACCCCGCCCTGCAGGGCCCGGAGCACCCGCCCAGGTCGCAGAGGGTGGAGCCCAAGGTGGACGTGATGCACACAGCGGGGGAGCGAGCGCACAGCGAGGCCGTCCCCGCGGCGCCCGAGGAGAAGGCCCTGGAGCTCCGGAGCGGCGGCGGCGTTGGCGGCAGGGCCCGGCCATCGCTGAGGGGGCGGCCGCCGCCCCCCGACGCCGCCCCTGCCGACCCGGAGCGCAGGCCGCACCGCCCGGCGGGCTCCGTCCAAAGGGCCAGTCTGATCTGGGAAGCCCGGGGCAGTCAGGAGGCCAGCGGGCCCGCCCCGGGCCCCCGAGAGCCACAGGGCACCTCGGGGGGCAGCAGCCTGTCGCCCACGCGGAGTCGGGGGCCGGCCGGGAACTGGCACAGAGCCACCCTGGTGGTCAGCGATGACAGCGGCTCGGCAGCCAGCCCCGAGGCCACCGCCAGCAGCCAGGCCCAGCGCCAGGGGCCCGAAGGGGCCAGAAACAAGCCCGGAGTCTGTGCCTCCGAGGGGGAAAGGCCTGCCCCGCGCGGCTGCCCCCCTCCCGACGCTCCCTCCAGAGCCGCGGACGAGCCCTCCGACCCCCTCCGAGCGTGGCCACCCCCGCAGGGGCCCCTGCAGAAAGGGGCTCCGGCCCCCGAGCCTCAAGTCCGGCTGCGGAGGGGCAGCCCCGGGGACCAGCGGTTCGACAAGTGGAGGCGGCGGACGTTGCCCCACGACGTGAAGTTTGAGGAGTTCAGCTTCCCGCCTGCGGAGGGGGAGCCGCCACGCCCCGATCACCGGAGCCCCAGCGCAGGCGGGAGGAGGCCTCAGCCACCCCTCAGCAGGGTGGAGGCCCAGGAGGGGGACCCGGCTCTCCCGGCCGTGAGGCCAGGGCCGTCCGGGGAGCCCAGGGCCACTTTTTTCGCAGTGACCTACCAGATTCCCGATGCTCAGAAAGCAAAGGGTGTTGTTAAGCCCGGGCCCGGAACCCTGACGGACCCTTCTAGAAAAACAGCTCCGCCTCCCTCGCCTCATCCTTTAACCATGGTCTCTCCCAAGCCCGAGGAGCCGCTGGAGACCGCGGGCAGTAAGAGCCGGGCGCAGGCCAGGGAGCCTGACAACGCCAGCCTTTCCAACGCTCTGAAGCCAGCCGATGTCTCGTCGCCTCCCGGGGACAGGATTCTGGATCTTTCCACCGCAAGGATCTCCGACGCAGACGCCGTCTGGGTCCATCGGCGACCAGAAGGCCGCGCCGGGTTTCAGAACGACTGGAGGGGAGGTGGGAGCAGGACGCCCCCCGGCGGCGCTCCCCAAACCATCCCTGCTTTCCCGAAAGCCGGGGACCCCCCCGTGAGGAGGAGGAGGGAGAGGGTCAGCGAGACGTCCCGGGACAGAGTCACCCGTGGCTACAGGTCCAGCGTCCTCGACATCGACGCCCTGATGGCCGAGTACAAGAAGCCGGAGGCCCCGGAGCGGACGGAGGGGCCGCCCGCAGAGCCCGGCTGGGCCCAGGAGCGGCCAGGCCAGCGAGGCGGGGCGGACCGGAGGCGGAGGAGCCTCAAGGAGGGGCCCGAAGATGAGGGTCCCCGGAGACAAGCCAGTTTTGCTGAAACAAACCACGGTTCTAGTCCAGCCTCCAGCAAGCAGCTGGCCGAGACCCCGGGGGCCGCCATGAGCCCCAAACTCAGCTCTCCTCTGTGGGCTCTGCCGCCCGGGGCTCCCGAGAAACAGCCAGCGGCCTCCCCCGGCCCCGGGGGTCCCGGGAAGAGGGTCTCGGGAGCCGCTGAGGACGAAGCCAAGGCTTTTGCTAGTAAACATCACGGTGCGAAGCATCAGGACCACCCAGCCGCCTGGGAGGACCCCAGCGGCCAAGCCGGGGTATTGCCCAAATCCTCCCCAGCGGACAAGAAGAAAGGGACCCCGAGGAAACCCGCCGGGTGTGGAGAGGAGGGCCGTGTGGCCCAGTGGGGTGACCCCCCGCCGTACGGCAGGTCACCGCTGGACGTCAAAAGGACCTCTTCGGAGAAGGGTGCCCCTGCCAAAGTCCAAGAGGGCCTGTCCATCCTGCAGGAAGCCAGAGAGAGGCGGCGAGAGCAGCCCAGAGGGAGGCCCAGCCTCCCCGGGGAGAGCTCGGAGGCCAAGGAGGCCAAAACGGGGCCCTGTCGGCGGGACTCGGGGACCCGAGACAGCCCGAAGGTGAGTCTGAAGGCCGTTTCTGTGTGGTGAGACGTTGGTTGGATAAACGTGAAGGCCAGGGGTGTCAAACTGAGAACCTGCGGGGGCCAGGTGGGTAAGGGAATGAGAGTCAGGCTGGGGGCGAGACTCTAGGGAGTGGTGGGGATTGTGGCTCATGGAAAGCTCAGGCCTTGGCTGACGGGGCAATTACTGCTCATTTCCTGCTGGTTCTTGACCAGTGAGGATGGTGCCGTCCCGAGACGGCAGATCTGGTTTATCCAGAGAACCTGAAGAAAAATAAGCCAGGTGTTGTTTTTTTTTGTTTGTTTGTTTTTTGTTTTTAATATATTTTTTATTGATTTTCCACAGAGAGGGAGAGTGATAGAGAGCTAGAAACGTCAATGAGAGAGAAACATTGACCAGCTGCCTCCTGCATACCCCCTACCGGGAATGTGCCCGCAACCAACGTGCATGCCCTTGCCCAGAATCGAACCTGGGACCTTTCAGTCCACAGACCGACGTTCTGTCCACTGAGCCAAACCGGTTTCGGCAGTCCAGGTTTTTATATGTTATTACCCCATGAAATGAGGACAGCTTACTAAAAAATTCTGTTCATTCCAAATGAATGAGAAGAAAACTGTCTGCTTAGCCATGAGTTTGAAACCTCTGGCCTAGAATGATAACGTAGGTATCCTTTATGAAGCACCAGGGTGTTGTGTCAAGTTCATTATTGCACCCCAGAGTCAGCATTCTGCTCGGCATCTTGTGAACATTCGAGAAGCACTTGTTGGATGTGTGAACAAGCCATCTGATGTGAGCCTCGCGTGGCAGCCCCTCTTTTGTGGTTTGGGTTTGCACAGAAGCAGGTTCTTGCGAGCAGTGTTTTCAGAGGTGATCCTCAGAGGAGCCGGGCGAGGAGTGGAGGGGGAGGCAGGGGAGGGAAGGCAGGTGATGAAGGTGCCACTGTGGGCCGCTGACCCCCGTTCTCACTGGAGGCCTCTGGGGGGCAGCATCGACCACATCCAAGTCGCCCTGTCCAAGGGCCTAGGAACCTGGAGCGTGGATGTTCCCCTTTGCGCCTGTCTTTGCCCGAGACTGTTTCCGGGGCTTTTCACGTTCAGACTCTTCCGTCCTGCCTGACGCCATGCTCCGTAACGGAAGGAAAAACCCTCACACAACCCGGCCGGTGTGGCTCAGTGGCTGAGTGTCAACATACGAACCAGGAGGTCACGGTTCAATTCCCAGCCAGGGCACATGCGTGGGTTGCAGGCTCCATCCCCAGAGCAGGGAAGTGCAGGAGGCAGCCAGCCGATGATGTTCTTCTCTCCTCATGTTTCTATCTCTCTATCCCTCTCCCTCCCTCTCTCCCTCCCTCACTCTCTCTCTCTCTCTCTCTCTCTCTCAAAATCAACAAAAACATATATTTTTTTAAAGGGAGAGAGAGAGGTCCAACCTGGAAGGGGACGTTGTGGAAATGCAACACTAGAATTACATCCGTGGAGATCATGAGATGAACATGCACCCAAGGTTAGGGGTGGCGTTTGGCTCTGAGCCCACATCTCTACTCTGCCACTTGCCAGCTGTGTGCGAAGCAGGAACTTGGCCTCCTCCAGCCTCAGTTTCCCCACCAGAGTGACCAGGGATCCCTGCCTCTAAGTCCTGTTCCTGAACGGAGACAAAGCACCCGGCACGCGCCTGGCGCCCACTGGGCACGAGCTCGGGGCTGCCCCTGGCTTCTGTACAGGCGCTTCTCCAGGGGGTTTCCACCCATCCTCACCCCCGGGGTTATCGGGGGAGCGCGGGGAGAGGGAGGAGGCCGGGGAAATGCGACACTGAGGCTGTGGGCAGGGCCTTTTCGGGGCCCTGCTGGCGGAGGGCCCTCCCGGCCTTGGACGCCCGCCCGGGGTGCGCGGCCCAGCAGCGCCGTTGTCAGGGGATCCGTTTCCTCACCAAGGACCGGGAGGCCTTGGACCAGCTCCCGTCGCTCTCCTCTCCTGCCCGGAGATATCTCGTTCTTCATCTTTAAAAAGCAAAAATCCATGCAAGCGACCCAGGCGTGCACAACCTTGGTTGCTGAAAATTCAGACAGTTACCAAAGTGCCTAAAATAGTGTTCCCCCCGGGAACCCCATCCCCTTTTCCGTCCCCCGGATGCGGCCAATGGGACAGTTTTTGATGTCCCGTGGGACTCTCCTACACTATAGATTGCCAATCATATATGTTTACTTGTAATTGTTGTATTTTCCCTATTGCAGAAGGCAGTGCATGCGTGTGTAAAACTTAAAATATTAGCCAAAACTGGTTTGGCTCAGTGGATAGAGCATCGGCCTGCGGACTGCAAGGTTCTGGGTTCGATTCCGGTCCAGGGCATGTACCTTGGTTGCAGGCCCAACCCCAGTAGCGAGTGTGCAAGAGGCAGCTGATCGATGATTCTCTCTCATCGATGTTTCTGACTCTCTGTCCCTCTCTCTTCCTCTCTGTAAAAAAAATCAATAAAATATATTAAAAAAATAAAATAAAACTTAAAATATTATAGAAACAGACGTTTTAGAAAGAAAATCCCCCTTGAAAGGTTGAGTCTGGTGCAGGAACTGGGCACGCCCCTCCAGGCCCATTCACGATTCTCAGTCTGCCACAGTTTGTCTCCAGGGCCCATTTGACAGAGTTTGAGACTTTTTTGTCGAGTCAGCCAGGGGAGACTGTGTTCCTGGCATCTAGTGGCTGGAGACCAGGGGTGCTGCCCAGCCCCTCCAAATGCCCAAGACGCCCCCCTGCAGACAGTCATCAGCCTCACAGGGCCAAACATGGCTCTGGTGCCAAGGAACCGTGGGCTAGACACAGGCAGAGGTAACGTACGGTACATGCCGTCCATAAAACACGCCAACGTTCTTCAGAGCATCTTCCAGCTTGCTATTTATTTATTTATTTATTTATTTTTAACTAAACAGTAAAAAAACAGTTCTATTGCCTCGTTATTTTGCCTGGCTGTAAAGTATCTTATAATGGGATTGAGCCCCAATTTTTTTTAAATCCGAATTCTTGTGGATGGACTTCTGGATTGGTTCCAGTCCAGGAGTTAGAAGCAGGACGTCCCTGAGCATTCGGAGGCACATCTTTGCTTCCTCGGGAGAGGACTTTTTGATTCACAGCCAGTTCTGCTCATGTCCTGTGCATGAGTGTGATTGTAATTAAAGGGGTCCCTCCCTCTTCCGCTCCCTCCCTCCTTCCCTTCCTTTCTCTCTCTCTCTCTCTCTTTTTTTTCCCCACTCAGTTTATCAAAACTCTGTCCCACGCCCAGTTACTCTATTTCACGTAATTTAATTACTTATTTTTGTCTCAGAAGACAGGATCTTTTCACGTGGCTCTATAAACGTTTAAAGGTATGGAGTGAAAACATTCCCCCATACCTCTGGTTCCCCATCTCCCCATTCCTCCCCACCCAGTAATTACTTCCATTCTTGTTTGTACAAATTCCTTTAGAGTGTCTCTCTGAAAATACAAGCAAGTAGGAATGCATATTCTTGGTTTTGCCTTTTTCTTTTTTTTCCCCCCCACAAAAGAGTATTCTGTACAAGTGGTTGAAACTTCAGTTGTCTGTGGGAGGAACCCCTGGAATCGTAAAAAGCAGCAACACCAGGGCCTCACCCAGACTGATTCCATTGGGATCTCCGGGGTGGAGTCCGCTGTGGTTAGCTGTGAAAGCTCCCAGGGGCAGCCAAAGCCGGTGTGGCTCAGTGGATAGAGCGTCGGCCTGCGGACTGAAAGGTCCCAGGTTCGATTCCGGTCAAGGGCATGTACCTTGGTTGCGGGCACATCCCCAGTGGTGGGGGGGTGTGTGTGTGTGCAGGAGGCAGCTGATCCGATGACTCTCTCTCAGCGATGTTTCTCTCTCCTCCTCTCTGTAAAAATCAATCAAATATATTTTTAAAAAGAAAGAAATCAATAAATACATATATATTTTTAAAAAGAAGCTCCCAGGGGCTTCTCGCATTGAGGGTTTCTGCTGATCCACAGATCGGCCATTTGCCTTTTCTCGTAAACGCATTTTGGAGAGCTTTTGGATTCAGCCCTCAGAGCGAGGACTCTTTCTTCCCGGCTGCTGCACGGCTGGGAGCATTGAGGCCCGGAGAGGTCTGGCCAGGTGGCTTGAGCCACAGCTAGTGTGTGTACGTGCCCCGTGCGTGCCTGCGTCATTGTGCGTGCCTGCGTCATTCTGCACATGCACAGGTCCAGCGGGTCCTGGAATGACCCTGGTCTCGTTCCGCGCGGAGGAGAGAGAAATGGCGCCCCCGGCCGGGGCCGCTGCCTGTTGTGGAGCTGGCACGCTCTCCCCATGCCCGCGCGGGGTTCCCCGGGCACCCGGCTCCTCGCACACCGCGGAGGGGTGCGCGCTGGGGGGCTCGCTGTGCCCGCACCGGCCCCGCCCGGGTGGGTGAGTGCGGCTGGGAGCGGCCTGGGAGGGACCGGCGTCCTGTCCGGGGTGGGTGCCCGCCTCGGCCCCGAGCTGCCCCGAGAGGCGCTGGCCCCCCACCATCTGGAACGATGGGTTGGAAAATCATCTTCTTGTGTGTGTGTGTGTGTTGTTTGTTTGTTTTCATCTTTACCTGAGGAATGAGGATATTTTTTCCCATTGAATTTTAGAAAGAGTGGGAGGGAGGCGGGGGCGGGGGAGAGAAACTGATTGGTTGCCTCCTGCACCCGCGCCCCCAGCCCTGCGGAGCCAGGGGTTGAGTTTGCTCTCCAGGTAGAGGTGTCCTTGGTGGGGAATGGAACCTGCGATCCTCTGTGCACCGGCCCGGCCTGACCCTGCGCTGTGAAAGCTCCCAGGGACAGTCAAAACCGGTGTGGCTCAGTGGGTAGAGCGTCGGCCTGCGGACTGAAAAGTCCCAGGTTCGATTCCGGTCAAGGGATGTGCCTTGGTTGCGGGCACATCCCCAGTAGCGGGTGTGCAAGAGGCAGCTGGTCGATGTTTCTCTCTCATCGATGTTTCTAACTCTCTATCCCTCTTCCTTCCTCTCTGTAAAAAAAATCAATAAAATATAAATTAAAAAAAAGAAAGAATGGCAGGATTCAGACTAGTGTACATGGGACCATTTATATACCTAGCTATAGACTGTCTCTGTGTCTCTGCATGTGTGCCTATGTGTTTGGATGTGTGGAGAGATGTTTAAAATGAGGGCTCCCAGAGTTACCAGGGGCAGTAATAAGGCTGGATGGCATTATGGGCTCCCCCTTGACAGGGTGTAATAGTGTGAGACAAGTCAGGTGCCCAGGACCTGCACACGTCCGCCCCCTGGTGGCAGCACTCCGTCATACACTTTCTGTGTGCAGATCCCAGCTTGGCTCTGTGAACCTCGAAGCTGAATACTGTTGATGTTGGTCTTTTCCCACATGGTCAAGGATCAGAGAGGTCAAGGCACTCACCTGAGCTCACACAGTTATTAAATGGCTGAGACCAGGCTGCATCCAGACTTGCTGATCCTGCATATTACCTCCTATCATTGAAGCTATGGGGTTAGAGTGTGTATGTGTGTATGGGGTTGTGGGGGGGAGGAACAGAGGGGAGGAGTCTTGCAGCTTTAATTTTATCCCTCCCCCCCCCCCCCCTTTAGGTACAGAATGGACTCTCATGGTGTGACCTATTCTTCTTGCCTCTGGCAAAGCCCCAGTAAAGTCCTTTCCTTGTGTCCTGTCTCAGGTGACGTCTCGAGACCTGGGGAGGGAGGAGGCCCTCCAGGACAGCGACCCGCCCCTCCAGCAGGTGTCCCCTGTGGGCCTGGGCCCCCGGAGGAGCCACAGCTTCTGCAAGGACAGGAGGAGCGGGGCCTTCGTGGTGAGTGAGGCCGGCGTGGCCGGAGCGGGCCTGCAGGCGGGGCCGGTCCTCGGACACCGAGGGGCTGGCCCGGGGGCCTGAGGGGTCAAGGCCAGGCAGGCGCCTGTCTGGGAAGGCGGTGGTGTCCTACCCGCCGGGCTGCGGTTCCCGACGTGGGGGAGGTTTGGAGGCTCTGCCGAGAAGGCCTTCCGCCCTTCCAGGTTTCCGGCCCAATGGGGAGAGGTGACCCCATTAAGAGAGCGCGTGCCGGGGTCTGAAAGTCCTGGGTTTGAATCCCACCACCCTCTCCGCTTAGCCTGTTTGAGCTGTTGGCCTCACGCATCTGTATTTTCGTTTCTTCGCCGGCACATGGGATCACGATTCTTAATTCTGTACCCTTGAGAGGACGGAGTAAGAATGTGCGTAGGGCCTGGCACCGCGGTCCACAAACTGCGGCTCTCGAGCCACATGTGGCTCTTTGGCTCCTTGAGTGTGGCTCTTCCACAAAATACCACGGCCCGGGTGAGTCTATGTTGAAGAAGTGGCGTTAGAAGAAGTTTAAGTTTAAAAAAATGTGGCTCTCCAAAGAAATGCCAATCGTTGCACTGTTGATACTTGGCTCTGTGGACGGATGAGTTTGCCGACCGCTGGCCTAGCACACAGCAGCCTCTGGTGGCCGTGGCCCCCGAGGGAGGCGGCGTTAGGCTGGCGGAGCCAGATCGCCAGGGTTCAGATCCTAGCTCTGCACGCAGATGGGCCTCTGGCCTCAGTTTCCTCATCTGTAAAACGGGGATAATAATAGTATCTACTTCACAGGGCAGATGTGGGGGTCGGATAGGGTCATGGACCCGAGTTCACAGCAAACACCTTAATAAGTGTTATTGTTGTTGTTATTATTATTATTATTATTATTACTACTGTGTTTGCGTCTCTTGGGCCAGCACCTCCGCTCCCTCAGCCTGTTTGCTCACCTGTGGAAGGAGGCCGGTCAGTCAGGACCCAGGGAAGCTCCCTCCTCCAGAGCCCGTGTCCCCTCGGATTTCCAGTGGTTTCCTTTCCTTTTCAGTGTTTGGACTTTAGTTCCATGATACCTGGAGATCCGCCGAGCACTGCGCTTGCTCATAAGGTCCCTCCTGGATCCCAGGCCCGTGCGGGGGCCTCTTAAGACAGGTGTTTCTCCAACGAGGCGGCTCTGGTTCTGCTCACAGGTCCTTTGTGCTTGCGCAGTTTTGTGCCTGTCAGCAATGCCTGTGCCCGGGCCCGTGTCTCTGAGGTATGGGGCTCCCCCAGCATGTAAATCCTAGGCCCGCTCCCCCCAGCTTTATGGCCGTGGGCTAGAAGCGTCACTCCCCCGACCTCGGCTTCCTCCTTTGTGAAATGGGGTGAAAAGGCTTCTTCACATGTGCAGGTGCTTTCCCTCGAGATCCTGTCAGGGGCTCACACCAAAGCCGGGCTGGGCAGGGGCGGGGTTTTGGTGGTAAAGGGGGAGGGCGGAGGGAAGCACTGTTGCTTTCCAGCTCGTCCCCGCCCAGAGGGGTTGGACCATCCGGTATTTCAAGCAAAACTGAGGATCTTGATCTTAATGTGAAATCTCACCAGTTTTACATGTTGGATCAAAATATATGTTTATTTAATTATGTATATTTAATTTAGCTTCCTTCACGTGGGCTATTGGCAGTCTTGCATCATACACGTTATCTCTCCGAATCCTCGCCACAGTTTATGGGGAAACTGAGGCTTGAGGAAGTGACATGACTTGGCCTAGGCTCATACCGTAAATAGGCAGGTGCCACAGGCAGGGCTCCACGTCACATGACATCAGAAATGACCTGAGCATCCTCCAGGGGGCATTCTGTCTGCAGTTTCTCTCTTTCCCCCCATCCTATCTTCCAGATTAAGGAAGGCACCGGTTTCCTTGTGCGATGTTCAAGAGTGGCCACCAGGGGGCAGCATGGAGGCAATCTAGTTCAACCTTACATTTTATTACTTGTTTTTAACCCCTTCTGCATTAGGACCTTCTCTCTAAACTGAAAAGGCCATTTTTCATGACCACTTAGGTTATTTTTAATGCATGCCGGATGTAGGCACGCGTGTCACTCAGCTCTGTTACCTATCACACTTCTTGTCAGTTTCCATGTACAAGCCAGACGTCAGAGCTGCTGGGCTGAGGTGGACAGTTCTGTAGCCTCACTGCCCTGGCACCCTCCCCATTTGTCCTCACTGATGGCTTCTCCTCCTCCCCTTTTTCCTCCTCTTCTTCCCCCTACTCCTCCTCTTCACCCTCCTTCTCTTCCTCCTCTTTCTCTTCCTCCCCCTTTCTCCTCCCCCTTTCCTCCTCCTTCTTTTCCTCTTTCTTCTCTTCCCCTTCCAAAGCTTGTAAAGTTATAATGTACAGGTTATAAAATTCATTCATTTTAAGTGTACTTAAAAAAAAAAAAAATATATATATATATATATATATATATATATATATATTGTTTTTTTACAGAGAGGAAGGGAGAGGGATAGAGAGTTAGAAACATCCACCAGCTGCCCCCTGCACACCCCCCGACTGGGGATGTGCTCGCAACCAAGGTACATGCCCTTGACCGGAATCGAACCCAGGACCTTTCAATCCACAGGCCGACGCTCTATCCACTGAGCCAAACTGGTTTCGGCTAAGTGTAACAAGTTAATACTTTATAGTAAATTTACAACGTTGCACAGCCATCCCCCCTATCTAATTCCAGAAACTTTTCATCTCCCCAGGGAGAGACCCCGTCTCCATCAGCAGTCACTCCCTGCCCCCCCATCCCCTGATCTACCCTGTAGACCTCTGACCGACCCCGTCTCCCCCGGCTTGCCTGGTCTGGGAGTGCCCTGTCCCTGGAATTGCATGGCATGTGTTCTTCACGCCTGACGTCTTTCCCCAGGGACATGTTTCTGGTGCAGCTGCCTCGTAGCACGTCGGTCCTCCGTGCCGGACCGGCTCCTTCTCGTCGTTGTCGCTTTCCTGCCCGGCCTCCCCTGTGTGCCCTCTGCATGGTCCAGAGGAGTGCAGGCTGGGGTGAAAAGTGCTTTCCTTTTTCTTTTTCCAGTTGTGTGTTTGAAGTGGTTTCACACATCCTGCGGTGGATAACCTCTGAAAAGTTCATGCAGGTGGTGCATGGCCAGGTGAATAGCCATCCCAGACAAGTGACCAGAGAAAACGGACGTATTTAAGGAAAGGGGGTGGAGGAGGAGCGCACACGGGGTCCTTTTTCCAAAGCATAGTTATCTTTCTTGCAGGTGGAAATCTTAGGGGAGGTCTCAGGGGAGGGTCTTAGTAGAATTAATTTACCAGCTTTCCAGGTGTGACAGGGCGGAGGGTCATTACCAAGGCAGCCAGCCGCGCCCTCGGGGCCATTCCTCTGGTTTTGCCACTTTTCTGGGCCTGGAGCTGAAATACAACCAAGGCCTAGATGTTCTCTTTCGGGAGGAAAAGTCAAACGTCAGGGGCTCTGACCTGCTATGGGGGGAGAGGTTACCCTGGGGCCGAGGTTCTTGTTTTCCCAGGTTTGCCCCTTGCCTGGCATCCAGGGCCTTCTGCCCTGATGCGCTTCTGTCCCCGGCCCCTCGTCCTTGCTCTGGGGGCTCTGACATCCTGCGCAGTGGCTCTGCTCTGGCGGGATGAGCCCAGAGGTACCTGTTTGGGGTCGGTAATCCCTGGCCCCGATGGGCTGACCTTGTCACCCTGCCAGGCAGCATGGCCGAACTGACAGGACAGCAGGAAGTCGTGGCTGAGATGCTCGGAGTGCTTACTGAGCTCTGGGCCCTGAGCACGTAACCACGTATGACCTCATTTCCCCTCCCAGTGACCCTGTCGTCACTCCTAGTTTTCTTGAGGGAACTGGGCCACAAAGAGGTTAACAACCAGCCCAACACCGCACAGCGAGCTAGTGCTGGGGTAAGATTTGGACACAGGCTGTCTGCCCTCAGCGTGCACACCCTCACCAGTGCCCTGGCTGCCTCTAGGAGACATGCCATCCTCTCCCGAGGTCTGTAAATTCAGATGCCTGTGCCCTGGCTGGCGTGGCTCCATTGGCTGGGCATCGTCGTCCCGTGCATTGAAAGGTCGCTGGTTCGATTCCTGGTCAGGGCACACGCCTGGGTTGCATTCTTGATCCCTGGTAGGTGGTGTGCAGGAGACAGCCAATGGCTGTTTCCTTCTCACATCGATTTCTCTCCTTCCCTCTCTCTCTCTCCCCCTCTCTCCCCCCCTCTTCTCCTTTCCTCTCTCTCTCTTAAAATCAATTCTAAAGCCTTCAGATGCCTGGGAGGGCCAGCGTGGGGTCTGGGCCAGGCCTGGGGCGGGGGGGGGGGGGGGGATGAGGTGGATCCAAACCCCAGACAGTAGGTGCAGCGTCTGCCTGTCTGTCCGCACACAGGAGTGCAGGCCCATGGGGAGGCCGGCCTGCCATCTTTATGGAGAAGCCAGGGGGCTGCATTGCCACATGGAATTCTGCTGATGCCTAAACGTTGGCAACTAATTAAAAAAAAAAAAAAAAAAGTGCACCGGCCTTCCCTGTCCTATTCACACTCACACACACACACACACACACACCCGCCCCAACTAACACCCAAGCAAAATCACTCCCGGGAGGGGGTGCCAGCTTTCTCTCTGTTTGGTGTGTGCATGTGTTTTGTTTGTTTTGTTTTGTGAATGCTGATGTCCATTTTAAAACCTCCCATCTTTTTTGTGGATGGGAGTTTCTGCTAAAAGAGGAGCACGTTGAGTAGGTTTATAGGGTGGTTTGGACAGTCTGTCTTTTTTGGAATGAATGAATGAATGAATGAATGAATGATGAAGGATGCTAATAAGAATTGTCCCAGGACCTGCTTCGTGCAGGTGTTGCGTTGGGATGCGGGCAGCCAGGCTGACGGGGTGGGCCCTGGGGGAGCTGACCTGTGAGGAGAGGTTGAAGGAGGAATTACAAAGAGGAAGAATGTTCCCGGAAAGAGGTGCTCTGAGGCCCCGAGGGGTGCGGTGGGGGGAGAGGGGC